GTCTTGGAGGCCTCTTGGAGGCATCTTGGACCGTCTTGGGCGATCTTGAGGCCGTCTCAGGCCGTTTTGGAGGTATCTTGGGGCCATCTTAGCCGTCTTGGAAACCATCTTGGGCCGTCTTTGAGCCGTCTGGAGCAGGAAAAACCCTTTGGAGCCGGGTCTGGGCAATCCTCCCCGGACCCTGGCGGGACGGGCCGGAGCCCCAGGGGGAGTTCTTTTGGAACAAGAGCCAAAAACAAAAACGATAGGATTTAGCACGCCAGGCACCCTTCTTGCAAGCAACAGGGGGCGGCGGATCTAAGACGCCTACGGCGAATCACCGCCGCCCCCTGCCTTTTTGGCAGCGCCTGTGTGGCCGATCGTTGAGGCCAGAGGCCTGCAGAGCTATCGCACCATGTGTTCCCCGAATCGGTTTGGAAAGCCTTCGGGGAACACGTGGGCGTCTTGAAGGTCATCTTGGCCGTCTTGGAGGCCTCTTGTGCGATCTGTCGGCGATCTTTGGGGGCTCTTGGGCCGTCTCGGGCCGTCGGAAGGCCGAAAAGAAGGACATCTCAGAATCCGTAAAAAAACCAAAGGAACATCAATGTTTTTGGCCTCTTCTGGCCTTCCTGGAGGCCCTCTTGGGGGCCTCTTGGGCCCTTTTGGGCCAGCTTCGAGCCAACTTCGGCCATCTTGGTGGGTTCCTGGCACGTCTGACGCCGTCGGGAGCCGTCTGGGGGGCCTTTCTGGGCCAACGGGGGACCCTCTTGGGGCGCTTCGGGGCCGTCTTGGAGGCCATCTTGGGCGTCTTGGAGGCCATCTTGGGCGTGTTGGAGGCCTCTTGCGCCGTCTTGGGGCCCTCTTGGGGCCATCACTTGGAGGCCACTTGGGCCGTCATGGGGCCCTCTTGGGGGCCTCTTGGGCGATCTTGGGGGCCTCTTGGGCCGTCTTGAGCCGTCGGAATGCCGAGAAGAAGCAAATTCCAAAATCCTTCAAAAACCTATGGAAAATCATGGATTTGGCCTCTTCGGGCCCTCCTGGAGGACCTCTTGGAGGCCTCTTGGGCCGTCTGGAAGGCCTCTGGACCTCTTGGGCCGTCTTGGACTCTCTTGGGCCGTCTTGGAGGCCGTCTTGGACCATCTTGGGCGGACTTGGAGGCCATCTGGGGCCGTCTTGGAGGTCATCCTGGCCAGAGGCCTGCCAAGCCATCGGACCATGTGTTCCCCGAATCGGTTTGGAAAGCCTTCGGGGAACACGTGGGCGTCTTGAAGGTCATCTTGGCCGTCTTGGAGGCCTCTTGTGCGATCTGTCGGCGGTCTTTGGGGGCTATTGGGCCGTCTCGGGCCGTCGGAAGGCCGAAAAGAAGGAAATCTCAGAATCTGTAAAAAAACTCGAAGGAACATCCATGTGTGTGGTCTCTTCTGGCCTTCCTGGAGGCCCTCTTGGGGGCCTCTTGGGCCCTTTTGGGCCAGCTTCGAGCCAACTTCGGCCATCTTGGTGTGTTCCTGGCACGTCTGACGCCGTCGGGAGCCGTCTGGGGGGCCTTTCTGGGCCAACGGGGGACCCTCTTGGGGCGCTTCGGGGCCGTCTTGGAGGCCATCTTGGGCGTCTGGAGGCCATCTTGGGCGTGTTGGAGGCCTCTTGCGCCGTCTTGAGGGTCCTCTTGGGGCCATCACGGAGGCCACTTGGGCCGTCATGGGGCTCTCTTGGGGGCCTCTTGGGCGATCTTGGGGGCCTCTTGGGCCGTCTGGAGCCGTCGGAATGCCGAGAAGAAGCAAATTCCAAAATCCTTCAAAAACCAATGGAAAATCATTGATTTGGGCCTCTTCGGGCCCTCCTGGAGGACCTCTTGGAGGCCTCTTGGGCCGTCTGGGAGGCCTCTGGGGGGCCTCTTGGCCCGTCTGGGGCCCTCTTGGACTCTCTTGGGCCGTCTTGGAGGCCGCCTTGGACCATCTTGGGCGGACTTGGAGGCCATCTTGGACCATCTTGGAGGCTATCTTGGGCCATCTTGGCCATCTTGGAGGCCATCTTGGAGCCGTCTTGGGCAGAAAATTGGGGAAGTGTGGTCCGTGGGAAAAATCCCGGGACCCCGGCGGGTCGGGCCGAAACCCACTGGGAGATTTCTTTGGGAAAAACAACCAAAACCAAAACCGATAGGGTCTGGCACGCCGGGCACCCCTTTGCTGAAGCAGAAGGGGGCGGCGGATCTGATGGCCCTTGGCCCATCCCGCCACCGTGCCTGGGTTGTTGGTCAGAGTCCTCAGGGATGCTTCTTGAGGTCTCTTCGGAGCGCTCTCGGCGGCCTCTGGGGGGCAGTTTTAGGGTTTCTTGTCTCTAGAGGGCCTCTCTTGGGAGCGTCTTGGGGGCCTCTTGGGGCTTCCCGGGGGGCCTCTTGGGGTCTTCTTTGCTTTGGGGCCCCTTGAGGGCCTCCTTGGGGGCCTCTTAGGGCCTCCTCTCGGGGCCGAGGGCTCGAAATATTCGTTCGGGTCTCTCGTCTGGGCCCCCTCTTTGGAGCCGTCGTTGGGACCTCGTGGGCCGTCTTGGAGACCTTTTGGGCCGTTTTGGGGCCCTCTTGGGCCGTTTGGGGGCCCTATATAAGGACTCTTCGGTTGTCTTGGAGCGATCTTGGAGGCCTCTCTTGGGCCATCTTGGAGCATTGGGAAGTCGAAAAGGCGAGAACACCCAAGTAAATCAAAACCTTAGAAATCAATGATTGTCGCTTCTTGGGGCCCTATAGGGAATGCTCTTGGAGGCCTCTTGGGGCATCTTCCACGCCTCTTGGGCCGTTTGGAGGTCACTATGGGCGTCTTGGAGCGATCATTCGGCGATTCTGGGCCCTCCTTGGCCGCCTGGGCGGCTTCCTCGAGCTTTCTTGGCCCGTTCGGGTGCCCTCCTGAGCGAGGGGACCGTCCCAGAGGCCCACGCGAGAAACAACAGGAGCCGCCCGAGAGTGCCCGGGAAACTGGGGATCCAGGCCCTCACGAAAATTACAAACCCTTTACGCTTCAGGGCTGCATGAGCCTTGGGCGGCACTCCACGTTGTGCCAGAGGCACGGTGGCGGCTGCCCTTGAAGTTGATCATAACCGACCACGGGCGATAATAAAGTACCCCCCGCCCTTAACCCCCTCTATTTTTTTTATCCCCGACCACAGGGATTCATCTGTGGAGAAGGCGCGGAGGCCGAACTTGATAATCCACGGAAAAGTCGCGGGGAATCCTTTACACGAGGGGTCTCGCCCGAGTGGTAGGTCCACAGGGCGCTCGTTGTTCAAGGGGGGGCTTTCGCAGCGGAAGGAAAAGTGTGCAGGGACTTGTGAGGAGGGGACCTTGGGGGGAGGGTGTATTGCAGCATTGTGGATGCATCCTAGGTGCACTCTGGGCCTCCTCCTCCTCCTCCTCCCCCTCCTCCTCCTCCTCATCCTCAACTTTTTTTACGTTAATCATACATTAAGCGCGAGCTTGTTACGTCGTTCCTCCTCCTCTTCTTCCTCCTATTCCTCCTCTTCCTCCTCCTCCTCCTCTTCCCTCGTACTGCACTTCTTCCTAGCACCCTCCTCGCGCCCCCTCCCGCCCTCTCCCTCACCATTCCTCGTGCGTGCCCCCCTCCTCCCCCCCTCTCGTGAAGCCAGGGAACCGACCAGCCTGGCCAGGAAGCCGGGCCTCACGAGGCCCAGGGATGAGTCCTGCGGTTGGCCTCGCGGCTCTCTGCCAGGCCTGGCCAGCGCCAGGAGCCTCGGCCTCCTCGGGCCAGAGGCTGTCCCAGGGCTCGCAGTCGCCCCCCAGGACAGAGCCCGTTCTCAAAGGAGCTCCACAAGAGTTCCACCTCCGTCCTCGCCTCTCCCCGAAAGGCGTGCAGAGAGCGGCGCGCCCCCCCTTCGCGCATGGCTTCTTACGCAGGGCTGGCCCGAGCTGAGATTTCCCCCCGGCCGTTGCCCGTCCGGGGCGCTCTCGACGTTTCAGAATGGCGCTCCCGCTGCGGCGTGTGCCTCCTGTTAGGATCGCGGCACGCTGCTCCCGTCGCTCAGAATTCGGCGGCGAGCCCAAGGGGGGGAGGGAGGAGGGGTGGGCCTTCTCAGAAGGCTCAGAAGCCCCCCCCCGGCCTGCTGAGAAGTGCTCAAGACACATGTTTCTGTTTGCCGGAAGGCGCGAGGGCTTTGAGAAGCCCCGCCGCCCTCTGAGAAGGCCTGCTCCTGTTCTCACTTCCCCCCCCCTCGCTCGCCGCCGAAAAATGGCACTCTCGCCCCAGCGCGGGCCCCTTCTCTACGTCCGAGCCCTTCTTCGGTCGTCGCCCCCTTCCGCGGTCCACTGCTCCTCCGCCGTCCACTGGTCCTCCCGCTCCTTCCACTCCAGCTCCTGCTGCTGCTGCTGCTGCTGCTGCTGCTGTTCGTCTTCGTGCTGCTTGACCAACCTAAGCAGCTTCTCGCCTCGTTCGGCATAGGCGACCGCGGTCTCGCTCCCCTTTGGGGGCTACTAGCTTCGTCTTTCTTTCTCCTCACCCGCTGTCGCCCTCACACACCTCCGGCAGGTCGCCTCTGGGCTTGCCTCCCTCATCATTATCCGCTTCCTCCTGCTCGTGCGCCACCCTCCCTCAAACGTGTGCAGTCCCCCGGTTTCTGATTGCGCATAACGCGACGGGGGTCCGTTTCTGGTGTTCCAGGTCCGCTGCGACACGCGTCGGCGGATAGAGAAGAGATCAGCGCAGTGAGAAGGAATGAACTGGAGGGGTAGACTGCCAGATATGTCGCGAGCGCACTTGGCTTGCCCCCTTCTCCTTTCCCTTCCACCTTCCTCGCCCTCTCTCTCTCTCCCTCCTCCTCCCCGCTCCCCCTTCCCCCCCCCCCTTCCTGCGAGCTCTCCCTCGGGCTGTTCTGCCTCCGAGCCTTTCCCCTCGGGGCTGCTCGAATCTGACTGTGAGCCTCTCCTATCCCATTCCGATGCCCCGCCGATCAGGTATGGGGCTTCCCCCCCGGGGCTGTCCCGATCCGTCCTCTTCCCTCCCTGCGCTGCCCGAGCCGGCGAGGCCGCCGTCCAGAGCGTGGCCAACGAGCTCAAGTCGCGGCCGGCCAAGTCCACCGCCGCTCAGAAGTGGCATTTCGCCCACGGCGTCGCGGCAAAGGCCCCCCGCATCGAGGCGCCGGGGCGGTCCGTCCAGAGGGCCCGTCTCGATCCGGTTCGATGCCGATTCCGGTCGGCCCCGAGCCGATTCGATCTCCGAAATTCCGATCGGGGGCGTCTAGGAGATGGGTGAGGATTAGGATTAGGTGTGTGTGTGTGTGCGGTGTTTGTGTAGTGTGTGTAGTGTGTGTAGTGTGTGTAGTGTATGTTGTGTGTAGTGTGTGTAGTGTGTGTAGCGTGTGCGTAGTGTGTGTGTGTGTGTAGTGTGTGTAGTGTGTGTAGTGTGTGTAGTGTGTTAGTGTGTAGGGTGTATTGTGTAGTGTGTATGAAGGGGTCCTGGGACACACAATTAAATACACACAAATAACAGGATTCCAACATTTTCGCATATTTTCTTAGTTTTTGTCTTTCCCCCCATTTCTATATTCTCCCATATTTTCTGGGAATCGACGATTAATTGTGTCTGTGTGTTTTTTTCCCCCTCCTGAGTGCAGTGTGTAGTGTGTGGTGTGTGGTGTGTGTGTGTGTGGTGTGTGGTGTGTGGTGTGTGGTGTGTGGTGTGTACTGTGTATTGTGTGGTGTTTGGTGTGTGGTGTGTGTAGTGTGTAGTGTGTAGTGTGTAGTGTGTGGTGTGTGGTGTGTGGTGTGCGGTGTGTGGTGTGTGGTGTGTGGTGTGCGGTGTGTGGTGTGTGTGTGTGGTGTGTGTCTGTGTGCCTGTGTGTCTCTGTGTCTGTGTGTCTGTGTGTCTGTGTGCCTGTGTGTTTGTGTCTGCTTCTCTGTGTGCTTCTCTGTGTCGGTGCGTTTCTGCGTGTGTGTGTGTGTGTGTGTCTGTGTGTGCTTCTCTGTGTCTGTGCGTTTCTGTGTGTGTGTGTGTTCATTGCGTGCTTCTGTGCGTGTGCGTGTGGGTATCATGGCCAAGGCCATGATATCTCCCAGATGGCATGACTCCCCTCTTTCTTTCAAAACGTACTTTCCCTGGCCCCCCCCCCGCGTCCGCACTTCATGCCTCAGGCCATGAACTGCTTACCCCCATTTCCCACGCCCCCAAGACCCCAGGGCGGGACAAGCGTGAACACATGTATAACGCCCAAGAGCGGGACAAGCGTGAAAACACGTGGGTGCCTATTGCCCCAGAGCGGGACAAGCGTGATAACACGTGGGTCCAGTTCGCCCCAAAGCTGAACAAGCGTGAAAACGTTGGGCCTTTCTCGCCCCAAAGCGAACAAGCGTGAAATCATGTGGGTCGTTCGTCGCCCCAGAGCGGAACAAGCAATAAGAACATTTGGGCCGCTGGCCCCAGGAAGGCCACAGGAGGCACCCGGAGGCCCCAGGAGGCTCCGGGAGGGCCCAGGAGCCCCCGGGAAGCTCCAGGAGGCCCACGGATCCCCAAGGAGGCCCCAAGACGGAGCACGTCAGGTTACTGCACATCTGATGTCGATGTGTCGAGTTGTTCTAGCCATTGTGGGCTCCCTGCCATTCTGGGGCGCCCAGACGTTCACGTGTTAGATACCTCCCCCCCTTGAGAGGCCTGGACACGTGGAAAACGTGAGCCTCTTTCGCTCCAGAGCAGTAACATGATGAAAACACGTGGGTCCCTTTCGCACCAGAGCGGAACGAGCGTGAAAACACGTGGGTCCGATTCGCCCTAGAGCGTAACAAGCTTGAAAACACGTGTCCCTTTCGCCCCTGAGCGGGACAAGCGTGAAAACACGCGGGTCCCTTTCGCCCCAGAGCGGACCAGGCGTGAAAACACGCGGGCCTTTGTCGCCCCGGAGCGAACAAAGCGTGAGATCATGTCGGTCCTTTGCGCCCCAGAGCGGAACAAGCGTGAAAACACGGCCCCGCCTCCGCGCCGCTCCTGGGGCAGCCGGAGCCTGCAGGAGGGAGAAGAGGAGGAGGGGAGGGGAAGGAGAGGAGGAGGAGAGGAGGAGGAGGAGGAGGAGGAGGTGCTCCCCTTAAACCAGACAGCGGAACCAGCGTGCCGACGCGTGGGTTCTGTCCGCCGCAGGGCAGACCAGACGTGGAAGCACGTGGGCCACTGGCCCCAGGAAGGCCACAGTAGGCACCCGGAGGCCCCAGAAGCCCTCCAGGAGCCCTCCAGGAGCCCTCAGGAGGCCACAGGAGGGCTCCAGGAGGCTGCAGGAGGCCTCAGGAGGCACCAGGAGGCACCAGGAGGCTCCAGGAGCCCTCCAGGAGCCCTCGGGAGGCACCTGGAGGCCTCAGGAGGCTCCAGGAGGCCACAGGAGGGCTCCAGGAGGCCCCGGAAGCCCTTCAGGAGCCCTCCAGGAGGCCCCAGGGGGCCCCAGGACGGAGCGTGTCGAGTCATTCTGCATGTGGTGCCGGTGCATTGATTTTTGTTTGCTATCGCGGGCCCCCATTTTGGAGGGTCCAGACGGTCGCATGCTAGGTGTCCCCCCATTGGTTGGCCTGGATGCGTGAAAATACGTGGGCCCCTTTCGCCCCAGAGCACAAACACGCGTGGATCCTTTTCGCCCAAGAGTAGAACAGACATAAAAATACGTGGACCTTTTTCGCCCCAGAGCGTCGCAAGCGTGAAAACAAGTAGGCCCGTGTCGCCCCAGAGCGGAACAAGCGTGTAGACGCGTGGGTCTTTTGCGTGCCGGAGCGGAACAAGAGTACAACACACACGTGTCTTTCAAGCAGTGGCGAGGCGTCCTGGCTCACCTACAGCCCCACCAAACAATGTTCTAAGAACCTTTTGTGGTTTCCACGAAATGTTCTTAGAACATTTCTGGCGGATACTGTTTTGTTTTAACACATCGGGCTTATGTTCTAAGAGCATCGTTTCTGTTCTTAGAACATCTGTGGATTCTAAGAACATTTTGTGGTAGGACAAAAAAAGCCGGGACGGTCGGTCCCTGCGCAAGTCTTTGATGCCTCGGAGCGGGGCAAGCGCGAAAGCACGAAGGCTCTGCATTCTGCAGAGAGGGGCGGCGTATGCCACTCCCCCCGCGGCGCCTCCCGCGGCGCGTCCCCTGGCTCATCCTCTGTCGCGCTCCCTGGCTCGTCCACTGGCGCTTTCGCTGCCCGTTCGTGGCGCGTCCCCTGACCTTGGTGGGCCCTGGAAACGACAGGGCCGTCCGACGTTTTGACGTTTGTGTTGCCGGTTCCGACGCCGTTTTTTGACCGGTTCCGTCGCCGTTGTTTGACTGGTTCCGGCTCTGGGTCTAATCCTTGAGCCGTTTTTTTGCCGTTTCTGGTCGTGTTCCTTGGCTTGTCCACTGTCGGGGGTGGACAGACCCCCCCCCTGACATGTCCATTAGCGAATCGGCCGTTTTCGGTTCGCGAGAGGGCGTCGCGGCCGTCATTTTTGCGGGTCCAGGCCCGTTGGTTTGGGTCCCAGGCCGTTTTCACTAAGGGGAGGTTTACTAGAGGGAGGTTTGTCCACCGCCGACACTGGCGCTTTCGCTGCCCCTTCCGTGGCGCGTCCCCTGACACGTCCCTTGGCGAATCCCCGAGTGCGCCCCTGGCACATCCCGTGGCGCGTCCATGCGCCCTGCGCCCCATGTCATGTCGTCCCGCTTCGAAACTGAGTCGGATCTTGAGCTCCAGCTGAGTGAGCGTCCCACACGTTTCGATTGCAACCAGTTCTGTGCCAGCTATGCGCTCAGGCAGTTCGAGCTTCAGATCCAGCTCAGTTCGGTCAAGATTCGGATGGGCGACTTGATCCACCACGCTATGGAGCACAACGCGATTAATCGCGGCATGACAGATTTCGTGTCAGTACGGCACAGTACACCAAAAACCTCTGGCATGGTACGTCGCGATCGATCCCTTCAGCATGGCGATGTTCCGTCGCCTGACCAGGTGTCTTGACACTGTGGCCATGCCTCGCATTTCTAAATTCCTTTCCAGGTTCGTGGGTTTATCATGCTTTTCAGTTTGGTCGTCCCGAGGCCCGTTCTGGATATTCGGGCCCTCAGGACTGTAAAGAGCGATCTGGGTTGAGAAACTTGTCCCCAGGACGAGGTCGAGAGGCAAGGCCGCCTCTGTGGTCATCGTGAAAAGGAGGACATCTTGGGCGAGATTGGGTGTCTACGTGCCGTCTGGGGCCGTCCTGCAGGTAAGTTTGAAGCTAAGCGGTGGGGTCGTGTGCCCGAAAAGCCGAGGGCCATGCGGAACAACTTTGGACCATGTGAGCATTTGTTGATTCGTTGTTTTGCCGATCGGCGCGGGCCCTCGCCCCCCCCCCTCCCCTCCCGTGGAGTAGATCTTGGCGGTTTTTTTGCGCCTGTTTCGAGCGGGTGGAGTCCCTCCCCCGGAGGCCGCACGGTTGCAAACAGGTCGCACTAAGCAGAGGTTTGGAGCCAGACCTTCCCCCTCCCCCCCTTCCGCCCCATGCCGACAAGCCGAATAAGAGAACGCTCACCATATTGGAGTCACTTGCGCAATTTTGGAAGCCCGAATCGTTCAATCACCAATTGCAGTCTCCTCTGGTGACCCTCGTCCGAACGAGCGGCAGGACCACCCACCTCGCGTATAGGGGTTTCGTGAGGGGCAGGGGTCTCACGGGAGAGATCTGGTGAGGGGTAAGGATTTTGCACGCCGATGGTTTGGAGGGCTCGACGAATTCTACATGAGTAGTCATCCTTTCCCTCTACAAAGTTTACTTGATTATTCTTTATCCTCTGCAGTGGAGGCTTGGGGCAGCGGGAACAAGCCCACCTACGTCTGCGGACTACGGGGAGGAGGAGGAGGGGCGATTGTCCGAGACGTGGGCGAGGGGTGAGGAGGATAGGAGGGGGAGGAGAGGGAGGAGGAGGATGGGGGGAAGGAGGAGGAGGAGGGAGAGGGAGGAGGATGGAGGAGGAGGGGGAGAGGGAAAGGAGGACGGGAGGAGGGGGAGCAGGGAGGAGGAGAGGGAGGAGTGAGGAGGAGGACGGAGTTGGAGGAGCGAAGGAAAGGAAGAGGAGGAGGGGGAGGGAGGAGGCGGAGAATCGAACACAACGGGGCCTCCCACGCGAGGGGTCGCTCTTCTCGCTCGTGGGCGCTGCGTTGTCGCGTTCTAGCGGTTGCGTTTTTTACGTCGTTTTAGTTATTCCGTGGGCCTCTTGAGCTCCCTTGATAAGTCGTCCAGGAGGGCCCTCGGCGGAGAAGGCAGCAAGCAGAAGGGCTACTCCCGAAGAGCGACAAGCCCAGCGCCCAGCCTCAGCGCCACGTCGGTTTCGAACCCGCGTCTCCTCCTGCCTCCCCCCCCTCCTCCCTACTCCCCCCTCCTCCTCCTCCTCCTCCCTCCTCCTCCTCCTTCTCCTCCTCCTCCTTCCTCCTCACCCTCCTCTCCTCCTCCACCTCCTCCTGGGGGGGGGGGACGCATGGACCCCCAGTCGCCTTCTCGGCGCCAAGAGGCGCCTGAGAGCACGCCCCGCCCGAGCTGGGAGGTCCTGGTTGGAGCGGATTTCGTGCCAAAGAGCACCATGAAATTCTGGCTGACGGAGACGGTGCGGCTGGAGTGGCAGAAGGCCCGCGTCGACCTGGGCAACTCCCCGGTGATCAGAGTGACCGGCGTGAGCGAGAACTTCGCCGACGGTCTCTTCGATTTCGTGCCCGCGCAGAGCAGCAAGGGCGAGCCCCCGGTCTTCCAGCACCAGAGGCTGCGGAGTCTGTGGATGTTCCTCGGCAAGGACCAGAATTGGTGGATCGGCAGCACCAGCGACAAGAGCGGCCGGACCCCTCGCGGCATCGCACACATGTGCGGGCCCATCCAACCTGGCGTCGTCCCCAAGGCCGACATGGCCTTCGCCGTCTCCGTGAACAACGCCTGGGAGCAGCGCAGGGTGCAGGTCGAAGTGGTTGACGGGCTGCGCGCCTGCGACTGCTGGGCGGAGGCGGCCCGCAAGGCGGGGCCGCTGGAGCTGTGGGGCTGCTCCGAGCTGTTCGGAGCCTTTGCCCCCGAGGAGGCGGGCGGGCGCGGGCGGCCCCCCGTGTACGGGCGCGGGCAGGACGGCGGCACGGTGCTCTTCCTGGGGCAGGACGGCTGCTGGTGCATCGGCACCTCGGGCGAGGGCGGCAGGCTGAAGGAGGGGCGCATCCGCAGCCTCCAGTCCGTGGAGCCAGGCACGCTGCCCGACGACCCCTCGATCGCCTGGCTCGAGCGGGGGCCGCAGGAGTGGTCGCGCGCCTGCGGCCTCCGCTTCTGCGCCCCCGAGGCCGTGGCGGCGGCATGGCGCGCGGCGCGGGAGCGGGCCGCCGCCGACCCAGTGATGCGCCTGGAGGGCTCGCCGGGAGAGCTGGGCTACGACGGCCTGTACGACTACATCGCCGAGGAGGGCCGAGAGGACTCGGAGGCAGAGAGGGTGCCGACACCGCTGCTCGGGCCTCGCCTTCTCGTCTCTGGGCCGCCTGGGACGCCCTCGTCAGCATGGCTGCATTCGTTTCGAGGTTCTGGTCCGAGCGCACCCCGGGAGAGGCCCCAGGGAGTCGCTGCATCGGTAACCCCCCCACAGGACGGGCCGCCTTGCTTCATGCACCAGATCAACCAGGAGCGCTGGGTCTACTTCGGGGCGGACGGCTGCTGGTGGGTCGGCGACAAGGAGTTCGTGGTCAACGGCCTGACGAAGGGGCGGCTATGCACCAGCCCGGCGGGGGGGGGAGGAGAAAGGAGGAGGAAGGCCTTCTCCCCTCTCATGTTCAGGAGGAGATGAAGCACAGACACACATCGTCGTCGATTCCGATCAAAACATGCGGACCTATGGGAAGTGGCGGGGAAGACGAAAACCCTGACCGTATGGAGGGAATCTTGGGATTTGTGATTATTTTGTCCCCGGATTATTATGGTAGAGCTACAATGGGTTCCCAACAGCACAATTTAGTCCCAGATCTCGTTCTGGCTTCCGCCAGAGAACCTCGCAGCGCCTCCAGTGAATTGCTGCGTGTCCCCGAAGGCCTGTCCAAATGGTTTCCCAATACGTGTGCTGTCAAGTTTTGAAGCTCTTTCCAAGAGCTTCCAGAGTTCCTCGATTGACGTTGTGAAGGCTTCTGTCGCAGCGGCTGCAGCGCTATCCAGTTTTTTTCCCGGATGGCTCTCTGCTGAGAGCTAAGAACGTTTCAAATTAGAAACCAGCAGGCAAGGGTAGCCCCGGAGCTCCTTCCGGCTTCGGCAGGGAGCCTCGCAGTGCCTCCTGTGAATTTGCAGCGTGTCCCAGAAGGCCTTTCCTAATTGTTTCCCAATGCGTGAGCCGTCAAGTTTTCCAGACGGTCTTTCCAAGAGCTTCCAGAGCTCCCTCCAAGAACCTTGTGAAGGCTTGTGTGTCTGTGTGTCTGTGTATCTGTGTGTGAGTTTGTGCGTGTGTGTGTGTGTGTGTGTGTGTGAGTGTGTGCGTGTGTTGGCGTGCGTGCGTTGCGTGAGTGCAATGCGTTGCTGTGTGTGTGTGTTGTGTGTGTGTGTGCGTACTGTTTCGTGGTGGCGTGCGTGCGTGAGTGCGGCGTGGCGCGCGCGTTGTTTGTGTGTGTGTGTGTGTGTGTCTAGTGTGTGGGGTGCGTGCGTGCGTGAGTGCGTGCGTGGTCTCGTGCGTGGTATGCGCGTTGTGAGCGTGTGCGCTGTGTGCGCGCGTGCGCGTGTGTGCGCGTTGGGCGCCCGTGTGGCGCGTTGGGTTGCGTATTTGTGCGCGTGTGCCCGTGCGCATGTGGGCGTTGTGCGCGTGTGTGCGTGTGCGCGTGTACGCGTTTGTTCGCGCGTGTGCGCTGTGGTGCGCGTGTGCGCGTGTGTGCGGTGTGTGCGTGGCTCCTCGCTGTGAGTATGGTGTGCGCGGCGGGCCGCGCGTCGTGTGCGCGTGTGTGCGCGTGTCGCGCGTTGTGTGCGGTGTGTGGTGTGTGCGTGTGTGCGTTTTTGTCTTTTTTTTTCTTTTTTGGGGGTGTGCGTGTCGTGCGTGTGTGCGTATGGCGGTGTGCGTGTGCTGGTGTTGTGCCTGCTTGTGTGCGTGTGTGCGTGTGGCGTGTCTTGCGTGTGTGCGTGTGTTGCGTGTGTGCGTGTGTGCGTTTGTTTTTTTTTTTTGTGTGTGGTCGTGTGCGTGTGTTTCGTGTGCGTGGTGTCGTGGTGCGTGGTGCCGTGTGCCATGGGTTGTGTTGTTTGGGTGCGGTTGTTTTTTTTTTTTTTGGTGAGATGGTGCGTGCTCGAACCCCCCGCCCCCATGTGTGTGTGTGTGTGTGTGGCGCGTGTCCTTGGGCCCCTTTTTTCTAGCTATCCTAGATGGGGTCGGAGGAGATGGGGTCGGAGGATCGCGCCGCGTCGCCGATGCATCGTCGATACCTCGGCGATGCGGCGCGATGTTGAGCCCGATTCTCTCCACGCTGGCGTCGCCGATGCATCGCCGATGTCGCCGATGCATCGGCGATGTATCGCCGATGTATCGACGATGCGGCGCGATCCTCCGACTCTATCTAGGTCTACCTTGACCTTTGCCTTCCCTCTTTGTGGGGGTGTGGCCTGACGCGGCCTCGCCGATAGTCTTCGGCCTCCCACCTGGTTGCGGACAATAACTCTCCTGGATGGACACACACACACCCTTGTGCCATTCTGCACGCTTCGCGTATCTCCACCAGCTGTGCGCGCTAGGTAATGAGGTTTCGCTCGTAGCCCAGGCTGACTTCGGACGCCGCCTGCGCTTTCGCTTGCGGCCGCGACCAAAAAAATCCCTACCAGCCTATTCAGAAACCCAGGGGAAGAGGAGGAGGAGGAGGAGGAGGAGGAGGAGGAGGACGAGGAGGACGAGGACGCGGATGAGGACGAGGACGAGGAGGATCTTGAACCCTCTTTGGAGCCTCTCGCGGGCCCTTGAGGGCATCGTGGGGGCATTTTGGAGAGCATCGATCAAATGAGGAGGGGTACTCGATGTTGCCCTCAACATCGCATCTTGGAACCATCTTCGCGCTCGTTTGGAGTGTCTTTGGGCCATCTTGGAGCCTTCTTGGGGCCCTCTTGGAGCCCTCTTGGGGCTCTCTTGGGAGTCCTGGAGCGCCTCTTGGGGCCATCTTCGAGGCTATCGATCAAAGAAGGGGGGTCCCGATCGAGGTCCCCCCCCCTGGGGCCCTCAAAACTATCTTTTGGAGCTCTCTTGGGGCGCTCTTGAGCGCTCTTGGGGCCGTCTTGGAGGCCTCTTGGGCCCCTCTTGGGGCCTTCGTGGGCCATATTGGAGCCATCTTGAGGCCTCAGAAGCGCGTCGGAAGCGAAGCGGCGAAAAGGCAAGCATCATCAATTGTCATTAGGTGTTTGACGGATTTGGGGCTCTTGGAGGGGTCATGAGGAGTTTCCAAGAGCACCTGGAACCGTCTTGTGGTCATGGTGGGGTTTCTTGCAGGCATGCTGTTAGGTATATTGAGCTATCGTGGGCTATCTTGATGATCTTGGAGGCCATCTTGGGCTCTCTGAGACCCTCTTGGAGCCATAGTTGCGATTCCCGCTCACTCCCCGTGCCCTTCCTGCTCCTTCCCTGCTTCCCCGCTCTATCTCTCACGCCCGCTTTGTCGCTGCCGTTTTGTTTCGAACTAGGGCCCTTGGCCTTAGAGCTACGCAGAGAGCTTCGCCGCGCGATCCCTCGACAAACGATATCAGCGATATCCATATATCACAGTGGTAGCTTGGAGCGAGGCTCGCTATCCCGGCCCGCGGGGCCGTATACCCAAGACGACGTCCGCGACGTCGCACTCCATACTGGAATCGAGGCCCAGCGGCCTCCTCGCGCTGTTGCTCAGCGCCAGCATCTACGCCAGCGTCAGCGACGCCAGCATCTACGCCAGCGTCAGCGACGCCAGCATCTACGCCAGCGTCAGCGACGCCAGCACCAACGCCAGCGTCAGCGACGCCAGCGACTACGCCTACTACGCCTACATCCCTGCCATCTCCAACGCCAGCGTCAGCGACGCCAGCAACCCCATCTTCTTTCCCACCTTCAGCAGCGACGACAGCTACTTCTCCTACGCCTGTGTCAGCGACGCGGCATACTTCCTCTACGACGGTGTCAGCGACGCCACATACTTCTCCTACTACGAAGGTGTCAGCGACGCCACATATTTCTCCTACGAAGGTGTCAGCGACGCCACGTACTTCTCCTACGACGGTGTCAGCGACGCCATATACTTCTTCTACGACGGTGTCAGCGACGCCACATACTTCACCTACGACGGTGTCAAGATGACGGAGTTCACACACAACCAGTCAGTGATACCAAGCTGGAATGGAGATCCAGCGAAATGGCGAGATTACAAACAGGAGGTAAAATTGTGGAAGCTCAGTGAGAATTTGGAAGTGACACAAAGTTTGGCATCGAAGTTAGTCCTGCGTTTGACGGGTACAGCCAGGTCGGCCGCTCTCAATATGACGGAGCAGGAACTCCACCCGCCGCCGGACGACGGCATCGAGGATGCGAACGAGAAGAAGCGCGATCGCAACCAGAAGGGCATCGAGAACGTGCTAATGCACCTCGAGGCAAACCTAGGCAGCAGAAGCCGGTGCAGAAGGGAGAGACGCTAGAAAAGTTCTTCGAGTCGACTCAGCACCATCGCCGCCGTGGAGAACGCATGACGGATTGGCTCGTGCGATTCGAGGCGGGATTACAGCAACTACGTGAGAACGAGGTTGACCTCACTACGCTTGACGACGTGGCCGGCTGGTTCCTGCTACGCAAGGCTGGGCTCACGGCCGAGCGCCGTGAGCGCGTCGTGGGCAACTTGCCGGACGAGCACTACTCATTTCAGCGCATCAGGGGCCTGCTGGCGCGCATGTTCCCCGATATCCACACATCTGAACGACACGCAAGCTTGCCGTCACGATCGTGGCCGCAGCGATCAACCAGTAGTTGGCAGCGCTCACCGCCAAACCGAGCACGTTCAGCCAACATCGCTGACGAGCCAGAAGACGAGCATGAGGACTCGGAGGACGGCGACGACAACGACACGGAGGCAGACGTCCAGGACATCGTGCGCCAGGAGCTCGAGGCCTTCAGCGCCGAGCTGGAGCAGTCCAATTACGACCTCGGCGAGGCGTTCGATCGGGACGACTCTGCCAAGGTGGAGGCTGCCGCGGCGGAGCTCGCCGCGATTCCCGCGGCCATGGCGACCATGCGGTCGGCCCGGGAGGCTATCAAGGGCCGCGGGAAGGCTTCGCCCAAGCGCCGACCCGCGGGCAAGCTACAAGGCCGCGTGGACCAGCGCAAGAAGAACTCCAAGTGCTGGGACTGCGGCGAGGCGGGGCGCTGGACCGGCGACAAGGAGTGCCCGACACCAGGGGCTCGAAAGTTCGCCCCAAATTCTAAGCAAAAGGGCGGAGGACGAGGCGGCGGAGGTCGCTCGCACCGCCAGGCCAACATCACCGAGCAGGTCCACGACCAGAATCACGTGGAGTTCGGTGACGAAGAAGTGATTCTTCATCCAGAAGGTCCGATTACTCCGCCCCCCGAGACTCTGGTCTCCGAGCGCGTGGTGCCAGATTTGCCCACCATAAACACCACCAACGCCGGCGAGAAGCCCAACGACGACGGCGTCGGCGTGATCGACACTGCCTGTCTCTTCTGCGTTGGCGGGCTCAGCTGGCACAAGCAGTACAAGGAGAAGCTCACCAAGATGGGTCTGGCCGACCAGATCCTGGAGGAGCCAGAGAACGAAGTCTACAGGTTCGGGAACGGCGGCACGCTCCCGAGCAAGCTGCGCG